AGGTCATGATAATCAAGATCAAAGAAATAAAAAACTTCAAGATCGATCAATTAAACATTTTTTAAACGGTTCCTTTGACGTGAATTTTATTATCATTGTTTAAATCAGTTAGAATTGATATAGCACATCTCAAACGAAATATTAATGATCGAATATGAATCAAAATTTTGAAGATTTCAACAATATCATCGATATTTGTACCATTACCAGCATCTTCAACTTTTCCAAAAACTGTTTTCAATTCGAAAAGTTGACTTTGATGGGTGTCTTCTGTATAATTTAATGTATCATCATCATCATCATCATTACATATATGAATATAGAATAAAAGACGATTAAATTGAGTAAAATTTTTTAAATCATCTAAGTTCTGATATTTCAAAGATTTGAAAAAGTAATGATTAAAACAATATTTAACATTCACAATATCATCAGAAAAATCGAGACATTTTATTCGTAAAGAATATATTTCACCTAAGATTTGGTGAGTACCCATAGAATTATTTTCATCAATTATTGAATTTTGCAATTGATTTAAAATAGATTTTTCTGACGAAAGTTCTGATAATAGATCTTTAAATTTCTCGTTCAATTGCTCCAAATCTTGTATCGCAGCAACATCTGAAGATTTAACGGGCTGTCCGTTAATCGAATTTGTAATGATTGGACATTTAATTAAAAATAATTCAATTCCATTGTCATAAATAGATTTCAGAACTGATTTGTTGTCATCTATTTCTTTCATTAAATTTATAACTGCATCTTTGTTTTTAACTATTTTTTTCATTGAATCCATAACACTATCTTTATTTTCATCTATTTTCTTGATTAAATTCCTAGAACTATCTTTGTTTTCAACTAGTTTTTTAATTATATTCATAGAATTTTCTTGATTTCCAACTTTAGCTTTGATTAAAGTCATAAGACTATGTTGTTTTTCGATTACTTTTTTCAATAATTGTGTAAAATTATCTTTGTTCAATTTAAAGACTAAATTGCATAATAATTGCATAGATTTTTTCTTGAGTGATGTTTCAAACAATTCGATGAAATGATTGCAATAATCTCGAGCATTATTTGAAATACTTGTATGTAACATGATATTTTCAGCAAGATATTCAAATAAAACTTCAGTTGAATAACCTGGATGTTTGATTATCTTTGATTTAATCTTGTCAAAATAGTCTTTAATGTATAATGGTTCTGTGTATAATAATTTTGATTGTAAATTTTTTAATTTTAAACGATAATTAGCATCGTCAAAAACATTTTGTAATAATTCTCTGACAGAAGATATATTTTCAATAAAATAACCATAAAATTTTTGAATGATCTCTGACCTCTTATTTGTATCATTGGGATTTCTGGGATTTGTCGAATCAAAATAAATTCTATTTGGTATTTTTGTTTCAATACCTCTGATGATTGAAATACAAATATATTTTTTATTTCCAGTTTCAATTAATTCAGATATCATCTGATTTATTTCTTCTAACGTTTGACCATCATTTCGAAGTAATTCGTAACCCTGTTGTATTTCTGCTATATAGAAATAAATTGCAACAATTCGATCAGGATCATACGTGGATTTTTTAATATTTTCTTCAACAATATTTTTAAATCTTGTTAGTAGTTCGAGAAAATCAGTTTGTTGATCGATCTTATCACTGTGTCTTTCATATTTGGTAATCATATCTGATAATAATGTTCATAGTAAATATTTTACTGATTCGAGATTCGGAATTGTTTTTGCCAGCTTTTCTCTATTAGGGTTTTCATTGGAAAATAAGTCTTTTAATTGGTTAACTATGTGAAGCATTTCACCGGGAGATACTGAAGATTGTGCGATTGAAATCTAAATGATAAAAAGGCACCAGAAATTCAAAATCGCAATAGAACTCGTCGAAATGAACAAGAATATATGTTTTTTTTATATAAAATAATCAAAAAATGGAAACTTTCTGGATTCTTCTTAAAAAGAGCACGTATACTTTGCTGATCTTTTCACATCATCCTCTAGATAATATCTTCCGCATCTTTAAGCCGACTGAGTCATCAACTTATTGTTTTTCACTTCGAATCATATCTTCTTCTTCTTTCTCTATCCGTTATCTTCGATATTTTCACCCATCGTTCTCTGCTGCTGGGAATCGTAGAAGATTACTCTATCACTCTATTACGTGTAGTTTTAACGCAAACAATTCTGGAAAAGTAGTATTTGAAAGTTGCGACTTAGAAAATTTTCCAAATGTGGCATGATTAACACGTAACGTGCAGAAATATGCGTCACAGTAAAGTTATTCTAGAACAAGCGATGCTACACTATTTCAAACTTAAAACATTTCAAGTATGCCATGGTAATTAACATGTGATCATGAACATATAGTGCGCATTGCCATGTGACTCCTACGTCTCATAATTTCTCAAACTCGAATAATTCTTGTTACTTTTACACAGAAATCTTAGTTAGAGGCAGTTCTCCGTGAAAATCAATAAGCCACATTTTGTTACACACACGAGGGAAGCTCCCCATGTGACAAATCGCTTTTTGATCAAAATCTAGTGGGTTATAGGTTATCGATCATACTAATGAGACCATGCGAATTTCCCAAAGCCCTTCGAAAGACGGCTTTATTGAAAACCAGTTTTTCAGAAACTCTAGAAAATAACCAAAACCTTTCTTAATGAGACATGATTGTAGCCCGCAAATTTTTGATTAAATGAGACGTCTGCCAGCTCTACATGATCTTTCTTTGCAAAGTTATAGAATTTACAAGAAAAGCTATAAATTAATTTTTTGCTTCTTACTTCCGCAGCTTTTGAGCTGACAATGGACATTCAGGGCTTTTGTTGTAAATTCTATAACTTTGCCAAGATAGGTCATGTAGAGCTAGGAGATGTCTCATGTAATCAAAAATTTGCGGGCTACAATCATGTCTCATTAAGAAAGGTTTTGGTTATTTTCTAGAATTTCTGAAAAACTGGTTTTCCAGAAAGCCGGACTTTTGAAGGGCTTTGGGAAACTCCCATGGTCATATTCGGAATCAGCATGCTCGATAACCTATAACCCACTAGATTTCGATCAAAAAGCGATTTGTCACCTGGGGAGGTTTCCTCGTCAGTCGGTTTCCAATCTTCACAGTGCGCAGTTGGCATCTAGGTCACTTTTTCTCTCTTTATCACACCTCTTCTACCCTACTCTTGTAACATCTTCTCTTATTGGTCATATGACTATAACAGAAGATGTTACAACAGTAGGATAGAAAAGTGGTGATATAGGGAGAAACGAAGATTATGACTCATCACACAGTAGCTAGTCTTTAGTTAGTAGTATATTAAGTAACTGTATGGGACTAAAAGTTGTAAGCCATATCGATGGCACAGAGGGGAGTAAGATAAACTATAGTAGTGCACAGGATGAGGAATAGACCATCTCAAGTTTACTTTTAAACAATCTAGTTCAAATGTAAATTTCTTGCTTTAGAATTAATAGTTCTGATATTCTGTTCCATCAGCTGAGTAGCTTTGTTTTTCTTGTGTTCTTCTCTTGTTCTCTGTTCCGTATATATATAAGGCTTATCAGAGTCTGGTTAAATTGTGTTTTTTTCCTTGTTCGAAGAAAGCGACCTTGGATTGTTAAATCAAAAATAAAAACAATAATGTCAAACAACTTTATTGATCATGTTGAAATAAGAAATGTGAAACATGAGGAACTTGAATAATTTTGGAATATACGACAAGAATATTTAGATCAATGGACTTTAACTTATTTACAAAACCAATTTAATAAATACTCATTATTATTTGTAGCTGCTTTATTAATAGTGTCATGTGTGGTATTGCCTATGGATGTGAATATGATGAAACAACTATTACATTACAAGGTATTGGAGTATTATACAAATATTGGAGATATGGTATTGGTAGTCGATTATTAGAATTTTTTGAAACAAAAGTAGATAGAATAAAAATTACAGTTGGAACAGCTTCTGATGAATCTGTAGAACAATTTTATCTTAAAAATGGATACAAACCCGTACAATTTCTTATTCGAATTAAATTTAATCAATTACCTTTTGATTATGAACAAAAAAAAGCTAACTTTAAGGTTATCAATGAAAAGTATGATCAAGAAAATGAAGCAATTATTTTATTTATTGAAACATTAGAATATGATAATAAATTAAAAAATAATATTAAAACAGAATTTCATTCCTATGAAACAATTTATATCATGGAAAAGGGTATTCAGTCCAATATATCATGTGATATAAATCAATTTTTCTTATCCAAAACTGATGATGTATGTCCTTCAGTAGTAAAACAAAAAAATACATATCCAAACTTAAAAATACGGCGATAATGTTTCATTTATGTCTAAATTAATAGCTGAAAGACATAAAGGAAAAAAATCAATAAAGCGTAACATATGGTGCAAAAGTAATGGCAAGAACGTCAACTCTGGCAAATCTAAATATAAAATGAAAAGAATGACTAATGTTTGGGACAGACGATATGACATATACAACCTCACCCTCACCCTCACCACCCTCATCCTTAAAAAAGAAGGAGGGCGTAACGGCTCTTCCGAACCACATTATTCTCCTTCTTTGACTTTATCACAGATTCTGGAAATTCTCGAAACTCGAAGCTTCGCGATTTTTAGCGTGAACGCAAAAAGAAGAATATTAAAATTGATTAATATTTTGTTTTATCAGTAGTATATCTTGTTTCTCGGTTAGGCACGCAACGGTAACGATAATTTATCGGTTTATCGTTATCGGTTTTATCGTCTCTTACCGATTATCGCTTCTTACCCATTATCGTTATCGTAGTTATCACTTCGTACCGATAAAACCAATAAAGGTTCTAACGCTTGCTAGCGATCGAAAGCAAAATCAGAATAGAGAAAGTGAGTTCGTATTAAGAATAAACTAAATAAAGCTCAAATATTTCACACAGTGTCCGGTTAAAAAAGAACTGTAGTTCCGGTTCGCAGGAACCAGAACTGGCGAACCGTTCCCAGTTCAGAACGGAAACTGAAAAACCGTTCCCGTTTATTGAACGGGAACCGCCTACTGTCACAGGCCTACTATTAAAATGGCTGTTACTGTGATCTCGTTTTATTTTAAAAGTAGGACTCCAGAATGTGTAGGAATATTCTGTCAAAAATATAAAAAAACAGCAGATCTGCCTTTGCTTTCACTGTTGATAAGGATCACATTCTTCCAACTCAATTTCAACCACTGATTAGTTATTTGGTAAAACTGTTGAGGCGGTTTTCGTAATCTGCTGAAGCTTGAAGACACAGTATGGCATAATTAACACTTCACCTTCAACTGGATATTGTGAAATATTCTCAATATGAAGACCACTAAGTTTATGTCGTATTCTGTATGTACAAATAGCAGGAAATTTTACCAAATTTCCATCAGCTTTTACACGTGAATGTGGAATGGCTGATGAATGTGCATAGTTCTGTTGAAACGAAAAAGCTTCAGCAACTTTTCGATCTACTGATGTTGATAGGAAAGATTTTGTCATTAAACAACTGCCGGTTTTATATTTTTTCAGGTCATTATCAGTGATTTTCATTCCTCTGAACGACAGAGCAGTAGTTCATAGCTATTCCTCATCGTACAGATTCGGGGAGAAGATGCTGAGATGAAAGATGACACATCCGAAGCTAATTTTCCAATATTCGCTTTAGTTCTTCTAGGATAAGTAGCACAAAATGAAGATATATTTATCTGGACTCTGTCGTTTTTGCTTTGAGATAATTAATTGTCACGTGATATGCTTCATACTGAATAGAAACTGAAGTGCTACATATAAGGAAAACTATAGAAGACTGTATGATAGAATAATGAAACAGCTGGTATCGCAAAAGTAAACTCTTTATATGCTTTTCTGCAGAAAGTCAACCACTGGTTCTCAGTTATTCCTAATCGCACAGATTCGGGAGAAAGATGGATTGAACCCTCACCCTCATCGACACATCTGAAGCTAGTTTTGCAATATTGGCTTTAGTTCTTCTATTATTCATGCCCTAAGATGGAGAGATATGCATTTGAAGTCGGTTTTGCTTTGAGATAATTAATTGTCACGTGATATGCTTCATACTGAATAGAAACTGAAGTGCTACATATAAGGAAAACTATAGAAGACTGTATGATAGAATAATGAAACAGCTGGTATCGCAAAAGTAAACTCTTTATATGCTTTTCTGCAGAAAGTCAACCACTGGTTCTCAGTTATTCCTAATCGCACAGATTCGGGAGAAAGATGGATTGAACCCTCACCCTCATCGACACATCTGAAGCTAGTTTTGCAATATTGGCTTTAGTTCTTCTATTATTCATGCCCTAAGATGGAGAGATATGCATTTGAAGTCGGTTTTGCTTTGAGATAATTAATTGTCACTTGATATGCTTCATACTGAATATAGACTATAGTGCTTGATATAAGAAAAGCTATAGGAGAATGTATAATAGAATAATGAACCAGCTGATATGGCAAAAGAATGTTTCTAGCAACGTTTTATTTGAAAGAGCATCTAAAACTGTACTGAATGATGTGTGTGATGTTCAAAAAACGTCGCAGTAGAATTTAAAAAATTAAAATTTTACAAAACTCCAACTTTTCAACAAAGTGCAATTTTAAAGTATTTTTAAATTTTCAAAATCATACTTCAAAATCTACTTAATTGGCCCTTAATGACCTGTTAATAGACTGTTTATTGGCATTGCAGATCGTTTTTACATTGCCTTTCAGTTTGGTGATTTCAATGCTCTTGTTTCAAAGCCGATTTTTAGGTGCAAAACTAGTCAACAAACAGTCTGTTAACGAAAGAAAGAAAAGAATAGTAGCAATGCCGAAAGTATGTATTTCTGAGCCTTCGTTATATAAAACAGCAGTCTGTCACTCTTATCACTCAGTCAATCCAGTTGATAGTTCTTCTTTAAAGAAAATATTTAAAAAGAAAACAAAGTTAGTTTTACAGAAAATAAGTACTTCTTCAAAATCTACTTTCTGAGCCGGGAATTACTGAGAAAACATTATATTGAAAATTTCTATAAGTTTTCAATGAACCTCTTTCAAAATATTACATTTTCGGATGTATGGCGTATCAGCAACACAACAATCGATATTCTACTCATTTGCAGAACTGCAGAGAGGAACAGATGGTGCTAGTAATGAGAAAAAACAACAACTTTTTTTGAAACTTCAAACTTTTCGAGACTTTAGTCACTAAGAATTTTTTTCGCGGCAGTAGTTTCTAGTACTATCCTTGCCGAATTACGTATTCACGCTCAAACTGTACAAACATGTGTTGACTTCAGCTTCTAATGTTCAAAATACACTTGACCATTATGATTCAGTAGACAATTAATCCTGTGTTTGCAGTCTATTAACTGTCTAGTTTTTAAGGCCTGTAAATGCCCAATAAACGATGAAATCTAAAAACGGTCAGTTGACAGTGTCATTAAGGGTCCATTTATAGACTATTAACTGGTCGCTTCTTGGCGAGTTTCAGACCATAAAAAATAAGTTTTAAAAACGGTTCATAAACGATGCCGTTTTTACATCACTAATCGCCTGTGTATGGACCAGAGCCCTTCAGGTTGCCAATATTTGGCAACCTATAACCTAACCTATAAAAAATTTCACAACCTAATCCTAACCTAACCTATGGATTCGACAACCTAATCCTAACCTAACCATTGAAAAAAAAAATAGAATAACCATATAACTTAACCTAGCCTATAACTTTTGCAGCCTAATCCTAATCTAATCTATAGCTTTTGCAACCTAATCCTAACCTAACCTATAGGTTAGGTTAGGTTAGGTTAGGTTAGGTTAGGAACAACCTGCAGGGCTCTGGTATGGACCACTTTTTGGGCAGATCACAAATTAACCATTGATGGATCATTTATTGCCCATTCTTTTCCACCTCGAACATTTTCTCTGTCTGTCTTTTTCTTACAATAAAACTAATCAGTCTGTATATAAACGACATAAAATACCATCAGTATATATAAATTTGATTTCTGATATAAATTTATTATTATTATTTTCAATTAACATATTAAATTGTTCATTTTCTTCGGCTCTGAATCTATACTGATCTTCTGGACATACATTTATATTACATTGAAATTTTTTTAAATTTTTTAATAATAGATCATTTCCTTTAAATAATTCATGCCAATTTTGTAACATTATAAAGTCTTTTTCTGCTCTGAATAGGTGACATGCAACAATCTTAAATAATTTTAATTTTGGTAAACTAAATAATATAGTTTTCAAATGTTTAAATGATAACCACATAATTTCTAAATTTAATTCGATCAAATTTAAATGTTTATAATCCACTATTTCATTTTCTCTATAGCACATTTCATACATGCAAGTAAATGATTTTAACATTGGTAAATTTTTAAGTAACAAGTAGAATTCACTTGTATAACAGCTCACTACTTTTAATGATACTAGAACGATAATAACAAATACAAGTTTTAAATAAAGAGTCAGTGCAATTCTTTGGCAAATGCACCATACTTTATATGAGGACGAATCATAAACATCGAGAACTATCTCATTTTAAAAGAGTGTTCAATTCTGAATAAGAATATGTCACTAAAAAAGTTTTGAAACATTGCCAACAGGTTCGGGAGAGGGCAACAACTCCGGGGTTTTGTAGTATCAAACGGGCACTTGGGATCAAATTGTTTCAAAAATAGCTAACCTGTATATCTAAAATCTTTCGTAAATAAACTAGATACGACAAACAATAATATGGCTTACTTAAAGGAGTTTCAAATTACTTATGGCACTCGAGTGTTTGTTCCAGAATCGTCAGAAACGTGAAAAAAAGCTAAACTGAATAGTGAGTGCACTTGCCACCATTGAATCGAACTTTAAATTGAAAAATGCAATACATATATATATACATCAAATTTGTCGTCATTTCATCTCTACTGAAATGTAGATTTCAGTTTCTCAGTCGGTTCAGTAAAGAATGGTGAGAATCATCTTTGAGAAGAATTTAGTAGTGTTTACCCCTGATATCCGCGGTTCGTTAGATCTTTTCGTTCAAAAGTTATTCAAAAAACATCCAAGTCCACTATATGTTGAAACAGATAATAGTTAAGAGTTGATCTAACCATTTTTCGTGCTAGTTTCAAAACTCACTCAAGTTCTGAGGAATAAAACAATGTTGAGTTACAAAACTTGTTTTGTTGTCGAGAAAATATATTTTTTCGATATTGGTGGTAAAAAAAGAACAAAATGAGCATGTATCTTGCCATTTTTATTATCAGACATCAGTTTTAAAGCAAAATGAAGTTCATTTTCGGAATCGCCATTGAATACTGACTCAAATGATCAATATTTCATTAAAAAATATATTTCATCAAAATTAGACCTTAAGGGGGGACAAAAGCCCAAATGATTTGAAACATTACCTAGGAGAGAGTAAGGGTCTGATTTCGATTACTAAACTAGGTATCGGGAAATTAACTTCAGGTGTTTCCTCTTTGAACCCAGCACTACCGAATGATCTTTTTCCCAAATCTGTACGCTGAGAAGTAGTTGAGAGCGAGTGGCTGACTTTTACGAAAAAGGAGTCTAGGAAGAAAGATAGAAAGAACTAGAACACCAACTGTCCTTCGAAAAATCGGTTTGACTTATTTCATCATCACTGATCGATATGGGTACTCCCATTAACCGGATGATTTTTGTTTCTTGATACGGTGACTGAATTGAAAATCTCTGCTTACCGGCTTTCAACTCTCCTTCTTGTAACAATCTCTGTTCTGACAATGGTTCACCAAATCCGATAAACCATTCTTTTATGGAACCCAAATTGCCGATGGACTCAATTGTGTCTGATGAGTCGAGAATTGTACTCACTGCTTACACTATGGCACAACGATTAATTTTATCATCGCCACTTGTCAAGGTGAATGAGACAGACCTTTTCAAGAGTTTATGACGTGACATTTATTTCCATCACAATTTTGTGATAATTGAGACGTAATACAGTAAGACAAGTCAGTTAACTAGTATGATAAAGCTAGATCAAAGATTAATTACGTGGGGAAAGCAGTAGAATTTTACTCTACAACTTTAGGACAGTCCAAAAAAATACTTAAAAAACCGCTTGTTAAAGCCTATACTTGCACAGTCTATGCAGCTACTTGTCTATCCCTTTTGCTGCACGTAATGACGAGACGAAAAAATTACATGTTTCTCTCTACATCCGAACAAATGTTCTTATTTCTCCGTATTAGAAGGAGAGAAAAGAGAACGAGAAAGAATAAAGACTGTTTTAAGTACAACGAACTTTTTGTCGATGTTATATAACAATATCGCCATGACTCGTTCAAATATCACACACATAGAACGTGATGGAGAAAGAAATAGGCTAAAACGAAGTTTTGATCCTATTTCTTAGGACTTTATGAGAAAGGCGTAAAGGAAGGTTTTTCCTTCCTTCTTCGAGTTTTGTCAAATTTCGTAAAAGACTCTTTTAAAAATATGTTTCGGAGGAGTGTCGAGTTAGTACATGAATAAATCATGAAATGGACGCCTCGATTAGAACCCGGGAATATTGTGTTATCAGAGGGCACTGAGTACGATTTTTGAACGAAATTTTAGCTCTATCAGACCATTGTTCTGAGGAATCGCAATGTGGCTGGATTGAAGGGACTATCGAAAAAGGCAGTGAGAGAAACATATATTTCACAGGGCTCTGCTTTAGGGCATTTGCGGCTATGCCTATATCTCCAAGATAACTCATCAGAAAATTCTGGAAAACATCTCATTTTGAACAGCACACTTTCTTCTACCATGCTATGTATAAGAAAGGAGAGACAGATTTACGAACCTAAAAACTTGAGGCTAAACTAGGCTTTGAAGGAAAACGTTAGAAACTTCATACTTTTTCAAGGAACTTCGCGGAAAGTCAAAGAATTAATTATTTCTTTTACTCGTCCTGATTTTATGGCTGACATAAGTATAACTGAAAAATTTATTAATATTAACAATTTAACATTGCTAGATGTAAATATAGACCATGTATATCAATGGCTGTCGATCTTATTACACAAAGATAACATTAAAAAATTAAAAGAATTAAATCTTTTTATAGTTCAAGCACATCGACCAATAACGGCAACAAATTTCGATGTTAACTGGTTAACTGATTATATTAAATCAAATAATTTAGAAAAAACAATTGATTTTGTATTGGACAAAGAGGGTGGATGCTTAAAAATATGGTTCGAAAAAGAAATTTTCTTTTATGGAAGATAATAGAGATTATTTTGTTTTCAAGCTTTTGTATAATCTCACTGTGATTATACTCTGTAAGTAATTGAATATGTTATTACTTTTGTTTTGGCTTTAAATTTTTTCAAGTGCAAAATAGTCATAGTTATGCTTGATGCATAGATTGGAAGAAGCAACTGCCTTCACCACACATTATTGTCATGACTGTGGTATATGATTTCTCCAAAAACGTGCTACCATTCAAAGCTGAAAAATAATGTCATTCGAGTGCAGTTAGCCAGAGTGAAACAATTTATCCCAAAACAACAAGAATCGATAATATATACACATTTTTTTTTCAGCTTCGGCGTCGAACAGAATTTCTAGCTGTCCAGTTTGTCTTAATTACACTTAACTGTATCATTGTAAAGGGTGGCCCAGAAGTCCTGACTCGATTTGTATAATAATTTTTCTAAAGTAAAACACATATTTATAAATTTCTCTCTATGATGAAAAGACGCAGTAAAACACGCTCTACAATGGCTTTTGATTGGCCCCGCTAGCTCATATAGTAAGAAAGTTATAGACTTAGAAATGTGCTTCACAAAAAAGAAAAATTAACCATGAACTCTCTTCGTATGGTGGGTGGTGCTTCCAGTGAAAGTCTCGTAACTCCATCAAAACAAAAGATTTTTAGATCGGGTTTGTTCTGTTTTGATCAGAAATGATTGCTCTTCTCTACCTAACTGCAAAATTAAACTACGATCACCTTTTCTATTTCTTGCTTGGGCACATTGTCGGAAACGGAAGTTTTCAATTTTTAAAACTTCATTCTCGAGTACACCATCTACTCTGAGAGCAATTTTTCACAGACCACGAGAAAGAGTGCATTCGAAAGCAGCAAACATAAACTGGGTTCTCACTTTTGCTAAGCTTTTTTACGGAAATAATAGGAGAAGAAAAAGTTCGAGTCGAAGAAAATACTGAATTTAGAAAGTTTTCATTTTTCCGCCTCGCGTATAATTTGCTTAGTTTTCTTGATTAAAGTTCTGAAATTAGAGTTTAGATATCATTTTGTAGAGCATTGCATGGCGCTTCTATTAAAAAAATAATTTGTTCCAAGGGACCTAAGAAACAGGAGTTCAAGCAAAAATACCGAAATCGGGTTCATCGTTAGTTTTTCTTTTTTGTAAATTCAAATTTCTAAGTCTATAACTTTCTTACTATATGAACTAGCGGCATCAATCAAAAGCCATTTTGTAGAGCGTGTTTTGCTGCGTCTTTTCATCATAGAGAGAAATTTATAAATATGTGTTTTACTTTAGAAAAATTATTATACAAATCGAGTCAGGACCTCTGGGCCACCCTTTATATCTATAGTCTTTAATTTAAATAGCTGGCTCGTTCTTTTCCTGTTCGATATTTATTCGAAGAGAAATGTTTTACGGTATATATTTCTTTTTTTGCTGCTTCCGCTTTTCGTTCTTCGTCAAAAGTGCGTTCAATATTCATAGAATGAACCTATATTTCATTATTTCTTCTTTGTTTTAACATGACCTTTTGATGAGACCTTCTTCTTCTTCACGTCACGAACCAGTCCAATCCTCTACCTTCGATGATCTTTCTAAATGATATACGATAAAAGCAACGAGATTATTATTTTCGTTCATTTTTCTGTTTCTACAACTTAAAACTGACACGAACAAATAGAATGTCAATGTTAACATTAGAAACACTACCATTCGAATTATATTTTCATATATTTCAATATTTATTACCTCACGAAATACTACAAACATTTTTAAATATAAATTCACGTTTTAATTCAGCTATTAATCTCTGTTGTTGTAAACGTATTAGTCTTGTCGGTGTTTCAACAGTACACTTTCAATATTATTATCATCATGTTATTCCAAAACTTAAAAAAGAGAATATTATTGCATTACACTTATCTTACAGTACTTCTGCTGATGAACTGGATTATACATAAATTTTAAATTTTAATTTATTTTCGAAATTAAAATATCTATCTTTAGGAAATGTAACATCACAAGTTATTCTACAAAAATTTTTCGATTTAGAACAACATCAGCACTTAACATATTTACGATTGTGTATAAATGTTAATCATTCGACGGATAGTTGTTGTTACAATTTGCTGTGTCAAGAAGTGTTCTCAATACCAACATTAAAAATATGTTATTTATTAAAGTATAACGATATTCCAAAACTAGTATTGACATCTCAGGCTGTAAAACTTGAATATTTGGAAATTCATTTAGGCTATAAAAATGGCTTATTGATGTTGTTAAACCACATACCATCGATTAAACATTTGTCTGTTTCAATTATTGCAGATGATAAAGACATCAACACCACCACCACCGACGATTCAACAGCAATAGTACAACTCCCGTGCGGTTTGAAATGGTGTGTATATGTCATTTTGAAGCCCGTTTAATTACACATGTTTTCGTATATAAGATTCTGTTAAGAATGTCGAACTTACAGAGAAAACTGAATAAGTACGATCGAATGGGCTTTTT